GATGACTCTATTTGCAAATATGTGCAAACATCCACCACAGTCGATTTTATAGGAATTTTTACTATAAATGACATTCCTATTTCACTCTAGTGAAGTGGAATAATTAAGATAGCTTTGGTCTTTTTCAAGAATGTATATTTGTAGAGTTCACTGTGAGTTAACTATACATTAGGACAAAAAATGTGGGATTTTTATTTTATTTTATTTTATTTTAGGTTTTTTGAGACAGGGTTTCTCCGAGGCTTTGAAGGCTGTCCTGGAACTAGCTCTAGGAGACCAAACTGGCCTCGAACTCAGAAATCCTCTGCCTCTGCCTCTTGAGTGCTGGGATTAAAGGCATGAGCTACCAACGCCCTGTTGGTGTTTTTTTACTTTTTATTTTTATTTTTTTAGTTACAATGCTGCTGACCAATATATAGGGCGTCTTATTAGCTAGTTCTGTCTTAAGTATTAACCCATAATAATATATATTTCTATAATGTCTTATCTTGCCGAGAACACCAGACTCATGGGTCCTCTACTCCTGGGGATCACATGGCAACTTCCTACTCCATTTCCCAGAATCCTTCTCATAGTCCCACCTATCTTGCTTGCCTATTGGCCAACAATATTTTATTCATTAACCAATAAGAGACCTATACACAGAAGGACTTCTCCCACCATCTCTTTTCTGTCTAAATAAAAAGGTTTTAACTTTAGTATAGTCAAATTATAAAACAGTCATCAAGTAAGAACTATACTTAAAATATTTAGTCCAAAACATTTAAGACTTAAAGAAAATTTTCTATCATCTATCCTATCTTTGTGAGTCTAAAGCCTTATATGTAACTTATCTTTTATCATAAATAAGGAAAACTATAACCATGATTACCTGGCTTCAACTCCATCAAGACCACAGAAGGATAATATTTACCCTCTAGAATTGAGACAACTGGCTGCCTAGACAGTCACCCAAGGTTCCTCTAATGATGGGGTGTGCCATCCATACAACAACTAAGTCTGAGTATCAAGTGAAAGCCTGGAGATTCAGATAAAAGCAGAGACGTCTGGCCCCTTGTGCTACGTGCCTCTTTCCATCTTTATTCCTCTGCTGTTTTCCAGGGACAGAGCATCCTTATATACACTTACAGCACAGTGGGAAAACGCCAGGTGTAAGAGCTTGTGGAAGAAGAGCTCCTGTTTTCCCAGGTGTAGTGGGGCTAGCTCAGGGCTGTAAGCCAGGCCTAGAACACAGGATGCACCTGTGGGCTAACAAGCAACTCACAGAGACCCTGTGGGGGCTGTGACCCAACCTTGAGGCATCTATCTTCTGCCTACAGGCCATAATGTGTCTGGAAGACTTCTCTGTGAACCAGGAAATTTTAAACTGTCTCCCTGCATTGGCAGTTTGTCTGTCATTTTTCTCTGTGCCTGAAGAATATCTGGCAGCATTCTCCATGAAGCAGGAACCCTCTAGGTCTGTCCATTTTGTTTTGCAAGTTCAGGTGTCACTTTCCTGTGGGTCCTGCATGTCCAGTTTATCAAACAGTCCAGGCAACAGCAATTTCTTTCCAAAATGGCTAATTTTGTCATGTTGAAAGCAAACTCCATATTAAGTTTCTTCAATGCCCATCCTCCTTTCTGAGGTAATTGGTGTGCTAGGAGCAGTTGTGTCTCACTGCATGAAAAAACCTAAACCATTTTAAATGCTACAGTCTGTAGGTCTTTGTAAAATTTGAAGAATGTCTACCTGTCTCACATACATCTCTGTATATCTAGAAAATCTAAGTAACCTAACTATAAGTTTTGACTATTACAGATGACTATATACAATCAGTATTTAATTATGCATTAAATTTCAAATTTCTGTATAAACACAATACCTAAACAAGAGGAGAAATATACATATAACAAAGCTGACCTTAAATTTGTATCAATAAATGAAAATGCATTCCAATACAAATTATTATTTTCTATTTCCTATTCTCCTTTTTTTCCTTTAAAAAGAGATTGGTTTGTGATCTTTAACCATTTATAACCAACCCTGTATAAATGAAAGCAAATATTTATATACAATATAGGTATTTTGGGCATCTTTCTCTCCAAACTACTTCCTGCGTTTAGGGGGCGCTGTCTTGGGGGTCCTATTAAGACCCAGAAATCCTGGCTGTAGTGGTCTGGAAGGCTGCCTAGTCCCAGCTGTTTTGAATTTGGGTCACCTGGGACACTGCTTCAGGGGGTCTTGCTTCATCAAAACATATTAATCTGGAAGGAAGCCACAGCTTTTCCTTTTTTTAGAGGTGGTATTCGAGACAGGGTTTCTCTGTGGCTTTGGAGGCTGTCCTGGAACTAGCTCTTGTAGACCAGGCTGGTCTCAAACTCACAGAGATCTGCCTGCCTCTGCCTACCGAGCACTGGGATTAAAGGCATGCGCCACCCCACCCGACAAATCCACAGCCTTTCATTTACTCATGCATCCTCTCCTCCTGGGATCACATGGAGACTTCAGGTGCTTTATTTTTTTATTCTTACAGAGTATACAGTCGAGTCTTCTGGAAAAATTATATCGAAACCGATCCAACTTGGAGACAATTTTTAGGATCATAGACAGTGATCATTCAGGTAAAATGACTCATTGCCGTGGCCCTGCAGCTGTTGAACTGTCCCCGGCAGTGGGGTAAAAACAGATTGCCTTGGTGAGATGTATTTATTGCATCAGATGGTCTAGTGAGACTTATTTAGTATCTATTTGAGACAGAATCTTCCTGCATTCCGTAGCCTGGCTGTAAACTCCTGGGCTCAAGCCATCTCCTTGCCTCCCTGCTTTAGTAGTCCCAGATTACAGCCTGCACCACCACTGGCTTCATCGGGGATCTTGGAATCTTTGTTAAAAACAAAAATAAAACAATTGAGGGCCAGTGAGATGGCTTGGTGCGTAAAAGATGCACTTGCCACACAGCCTGACAATCCCCAGAACCCATGGTAGAAGGAGAGGAGAGAACTGACCCCTAAAAGTTGCACTCTGACCTCCACATGCAGGCTGAGACACATATGGACATGAGTATGCATAAGCATGAGTATATGTGTGAACAGAGACACCACTACTAATAAGAACAATGAATAAAAGCTTAGTTGATGTGAATGGAAGATAAACAGCAATACAGCCCTTGCCAGCATTGAGAGGTGGCCTGGATTCAACTTCCAGAACTGAGAAAAAAAAACAAACAAGCCCAAAATAAACTCCAACTGACTGCCCATGCATGGATCCAAGGGCTCTTGTTATGACCTGTTTTGCTTTCAAGGTGAGGCAGGGTTCAGTACACGGTCAGGTTGCTATCTAAGCCCTGGGCTCAAGCAAACCTCACACCTCTATACCCCAAGTAGTGAGCCCAAGTGTGCCCAGCTTAAATGCATTTTTAAGCAGTGTAAATAAGCATATATCTGGGATGAGTTAGCATAAGTCATCCACAACTGACTTTTGGGGCAGGATAATGTTTTGTGTATTGCATCCCTGGCTTTTATCCACTAGACACCCATAGCACCTTAGTCTCATGTTTGCTACAACTGAAAGAAATGTCTCCAACATTGCTGAATCTTTCCCCCTCCCAGGGAGCACAGTTGCTCCCAGCTGAAATACAATTATGATCCTTGCCTTTCTTCCATTCCCTTGAGAGTTTATACCTCACCCTCGGCCTTGGGGTCTGCATCTGCATGCTAGTCAGGGAACAAGGTTGTAAGCAAATCAGATGATACTGGCACTGAACACTCTGTGGGCTCACTGATTTCTCCCCTCTCATAAGGATTTATCTCCCTGGATGAGTTCAGACAGACTTGGAAGCTCTTCAGCTCCCATATGAACATCGACATTACAGATGACAACATCTGTGACCTAGCCAGGAGCATAGACTTCAACAAGGATGGCCACATCGACATCAACGAGTTCCTGGAGGCCTTCCGCCTCGTGGAGCAGTCCTGCTCAGAGGACCATGCCTCTGCTTGCCTGCAATCCACAGACACTGCGGAGAGTGGCCAAAGCAGTCTTGGTGCATGCTGAGGACAGCCTGCTCTTTATCACCTCCAGTGCCTATAGGCAATGACAAGTGTATGAGTCCACATAGATTTGGGAGATTTTATGCTGAGAATTTGCTAATATCAGGCATTGGAATAAAGAATCAACTGCCTGTTTGCTGGTGGGTGGGCTAGGCCTGGTGTGGTGTGTGTGTGTGTGTGTGTGTGTGGTGTGTGTGTTGTGTCTCTGTGTCTGTGTGTGTACACACAGTGATCCCAACCTCATCTCAGAATCTTTACAAAGTAGATTTCAGGTGTAGGTATGTTTAAACTCTAAAATCTACTCTAGCTATCACTGATGATTTAATACTCTCATTGCTTACATTTTATACCTCGTATTTATTGTTTTAAAAATGTCAAGGTGTTATGGGAAAGCATTTTTTATTGTATATAATCATGATTCCAACAAACATTTTTTTTATTATGTACTTTGTCTTCATATAATTATAGAGTTTCTCTGATTTTATGTTCACATTTTTAAATAAATTACCCTAGTTGTACATGCTTTTCCATGCTGCTGTATAAACTTCACAGCTCTCATTAATGGTTGTATAATTTTCTCTCAAATTAATATACTATAGCCCATTTTGGTTGTTCCCATCTAGTAAACAGATACTTTGCTTAGGTTTTATTTTGGTTGGTTGGATGGTTGAGTTTTTGTAAATAACACCCTGGCTAATTTGCTCTGTAAAAGTATTTTCCAATGATATATTTTCTTAGGACTTAAATCTCAGGAATGGAATTGCTTTGGCAAAAATACTTTATTAGAGTGTTTTCTTCAGGGAAAGAGAACCAATAAGCTATAGAAACAATTTATTCTAAAGATTTGGCAAAGGGCTGGTGAGATGGCTCAGTCAGTAAAGAATATGCCAGGCAAACACAATACACTAGGTTGAATCCCCAGTTAACCTAGCCAGGCCAGCCAACCTAGCCAGTCAGGGATCTCTGGGCTCAGGGAGAGAGCTTGTCTCAAAAAAGATGGAGGGCCTAGATGAAGACACCATACATAATGTAACACACACACACACACACACACACACACACACACACACACACACACACACACACACGAACTCACTCTATGGCTGAAGATGGCCCTGAATTCCCAATCCTCTGGTCTCTACCTCCAAAGTGCTGAAATACTCTAATCAAGTACTCAGGCAACCCATCACCCATTTAAGCCAACACTCAGATTCACAGTCAAAGCTGTGAATGTTCTCTGGTTTGGTACATATTCCAGACTGCTTTCAATACCAAGCATGCTGATTTTTCACAGAGTCACAGTGAAGGCATCTCAAAGTTTTGCTAGTGGTGAATGAAGAGTATTCCCTATGCATTTTACTGTACTCATCATTGATTAATACCAAACAGTCACTTCTACCTCATTTTATTTGTGAATGAAGGAGAACTTGCTGAGTGTGTGACTTAATAAGACAAGCAAATGTGGGGTCCCCGCCCAAGATGCTTACAAGTTTTCCCTCAGGCATCTAGTTCTACCTGAGTCATATAGAAAAAAAATCACCTTTCTCCCCACTCTATTGATTGCTACACAGTCATTAAAAAGAATGGCCTGCTATTGACTAGGGTTATGGTTGGCCATGGAATTACAGTGGGTGGGACTTTCACTTTTTATATAAATGGCACACTAGTAAAGATTGAGGTGAAAATTTGTAAACAAATATAACTACCAGAGACATGCAGACTGTGGGGACGCTGTGACAAAGGATCAGGTTTCTTAGGCAAAGAAACTACAAGGGGAGGAATATAAAGAGAGGAAGGAGTAAACCACAGATTTTAAAAGGTTTAAGTGGTGGTGTAGTCTACCTGTAATCCCAGCACTGCAGACTGAGGCAGGCTGACCTCCCTGAGTTCAGATCAGCCTGGTCTACCTAGTGAGACCCTGCCTCAAATTGTTACAGGACATAGCAATCACATACAGAATTTAATTCAATCCCTCCTTAGATAAGCAGAAACATGTGAGTAATAGAATATTTGATGATGTGAAGGCATTATTCATTTCTCAGACATGGTGAAGATTTGGGGATCATTTTTAAGTCACTATACACTGAAATATGTTCTGGGATTTGTTTCAAAATAGAGGCTGGTGCAGGGGGTGTGAACAAAGCCAGGCTGACCCTGACTGGATCACCAGAAAAGTGACATGAGGATCTTTGCATTTGAATTTTTCTGTAATAAGCACTTTAAAACTTACACTTCAGGACCAGGTGTGATGGTGTATGTCTGCAATCCAGTGCTTGGGGTTTAGAGGAGCTAGGAGGACCATGAGCTTGAGACCAGACTGGGCTCCATAATTTGTTTTAGGGCAAACTGCACTACATAGTGAGACACTGTCTAAAAAAAAAAACATGAAAATTAGACTTGAGGGTAGGGTGAGAGAAGAATATAGCATTTGCTGAATAAAGCAGGGATAGAGACAGCCTCAGGTCACAGCTACAGCCAGGTGAGGCCCACCCCAGCCCCTAACCCTGTGAGTGGACAAGTGATGACAAGAGTCATTTTTTGTTGTTACTCAGTTTGCTTGGGTTTCAATAGAAGAGTTGCCTAATCTCACCTAGTATCAGTTCAGTTGTCTATTAAGGGGGTATCATACAATATTTTCCAGGGAAGCCACCAGGCTTGTTAAAGTAAACTAATATGCAACCAAGGTCTAGGGAAGGATCCCTAAGCAGAACTGGCTAGGTTATGAGTGACCTTAACCTTTAGCTTTGCAAACATGAGCAAAACAACTTTCACTATAGTTTGTATCTGTCCATACTAAAGAAAAACAGAACCTTAGCTTAACCAGTCAGAAACAGCCAATGATGGTAAGAATATTAATTAGACATGTCCTAGGGCATAAACCCCATGCAACTTTATTGTCGAATATTTATTTATTTATGTGTGTGTGTTGGGGGGTGTCATTTCATAAGACACAGGTGGAGGTCAGAGGACAACTTGCAGTTCTCTTCTTCCACCACATGGGACCCTGGAATTGAACTCAGTTTCCCTTACCTGCTGAGCTAATTAATTCACTGGCCATGTAACCAGAACATTTTTACAGAAACTCACTTTTTACGCTTGGGAAATGGAGTCCCTGAATCCCCCTAGGTTTGGAACTGCTCGATGCATGAATCCCCATTTTCTGAAAAAAAAAAAGTCTTTAAAATTTTGTATCATGTCTCAGTTTACCATTTTTTTTCTTTTCTTTTTCTTTTCTTTTTTGAGACAGGTTTTCTCTGTAGCTTTGGAGGCTGTCCTGGCACTCGCTCTGTAGACTAGACTGACCTGGAACTCACAGAAATCCACCTGTCTCTGCCTCTCAAATGCTGGAATCAAAGGCATGTGCCACCAACACCTGGCATCAGCTTACCCTTTTAACAGGCAAATAAAAAAAAACAAAGTCAAAAGTATCTGGAGGCCCAAGCAAAGCTGCCCATGTGCCTGTGATTGTCTGTACTCTAATTAATGGAGGAACACAGTGTCAGGGGCTGGGTGAGAGTCTGCAATTGGAAGATGAACAGAACAAGCTCTAGGGGTGGTGACACACACCTGTCATCCCAGCTACTTGGGAGGAGGTGGATCAGCTGAGTCCTTGAGTTGAAGGCCAGCCTGGACAATAAGACAGGGTCTAAAAAATGGGGCTGGAGAGATGGCTCAGCCATTTAGAATTGTGCTGCTCTTGCAGAACGCCTGAGTTAGGTTATCAGCACTCCGGTTGGACAGCTCACAGCTACCAACCCAGTCACTCTAGTTCTGGGGACCCAATACCCAGTTCTAGACTCCAAGTGCATCTGCGCTTAGAATTGTGCTGCTCTTGCAGAACGCCTGAGTTAGGTTATCAGCACTCCCATTGAGCAGCTGGTAGCTACCAACCCAGCCACTCTAGTTCTGGGGACCTAATACCCAGTTCTAGACTCCAAGTGCATCTGCGCTCATAGGTACATAAACACACACACACACACACACACACACACACACACACACACACACACACACACCTTTTAAAAGATGATAACATTTGCCCTATTTTGATAATCATTTTGCCCAATGATTCAGTGGTTCTCAATCATACAAGGACATTTGTAAAAACAAAAAACCCAGACTTCAGTGTTGTACTAGGTCGGGTACCCCGGAATTTCTTTCAATGTGTCTTAGGCACAGGAATTTTTAAGTGATGTCACAGTGTTGGGTTCTACCAATTAGACAACTTAGCTAGTTGCTCTTTGGTCAGTGGAGTTCTGAGGCAATCATTAAGACCCAGCTTGGGTAGATTTATTCTTTTCAGGTTTTTTTTTTAGACTTTTTTTTTTATTTTTTGGATTTTCAAGACAGAGTTTCTCTGTGTAGCTTTGGAGCCCAGTCATGGTCTTATATGTATAGACTAAGCTGATCCTGGACTCCTGCTTCTCCTGCCTTTACCTCCAAGTACTGGGGTTCAGGCTTGGGATACACACACACACACACACACACACACACACACACACACACACACACACACACAATTCATTCCACTATTAAGCAATTTTCAGTGACTGGATGTGCTCTCTGGGTCTTCTGGAGGGGCAGGCTCTAGCCAGTGTGTGTCTTTGTACCCATCTGGTCATAGCTGACCTTCCAGTTGCTGAGTCAAGAGTCAGTTCATTTCAGATGTCTCCAGTGGAGTTATTTAAGGCATGAAATATTTGGTAAGCTATGCCAAGGCTGTGTTAGTCATGCTCAGAAGTCTCCTAGCCTGGAGCTTACTGAAAGTTAACATTTCTATGGCCCATCCAGGGCAACTTTGTTTCCAGGTCTATTTAGGAGTCAGGGCTTCAGTTTTTGAAATGAAAAGGCTCTCAAGATGGGATAATGAGATTGTTCAAAATATGTGATTGCATTTTATACAAAGAAAGTGGATGCATTTAATACAAAACAATGTGAGTGCATTTAATAAAGAAAATGTGATTACATTTAATGCCATTGAAATGTACACGTGTAAGTGGTAGAGTTTATGAAACGTATATCTTATGGGCATGAAAACATTTTAACACATTCAGTAGCTTTTCTAGCAAACTCATGGGTGAAGCTGCTGGTGCTGGCTCAGAGGTCATATACACTGTGTGGCAGGCCCTGCCAGTAGCGAACCTCCACCACCAGACTCAGTTTGAGCTTCAGAATGTATGTAAGGTGATTCACATGGCTTGTCTCTGGATCTTCATAGCAACAGTCCACAGCACCACACCAGGTCTAGGTCAAATGTCAGTCTCACTTACCTGCATTTAGCTCCTTGCTGCTGCCGCCAGTGCTTTGCATGAAAACCTGGCCATGTCTCTATTTAGGTAAATGGAATGCTATTTGAGGCTCTTTTGCACTCAGTTGCTTCAGTTCTTAGGTTAATCTCCCTGCCAATGCTTCCCACACCAACTTAGTGCTTC